GGTCCTCGATCCCGGGCTTCAGGAGCCGGGGGAGACCGTTTTCTTTATTCTTTTTTTTTTAATTAATTAATTATTTTTTAATATATTTTTATTGACTTCTTACAGAGAGGAAGGGAGAGGGAGAGGGAGAGGGATAGAGAGTTAGAAACATCGATGAGAGAGAAATGTCGATCAGCTGCCTCCTGCACACCCCCTACTGGGGATGTGCCCGCAACCAAGGTGCATGCCCTTGACCGGAATCGAACCTGGGACCCTTGAGTCCAAAGGCCGAGGCTCTACCCACTGAGCCAAACCGGTCAGGGCTTCTTTATTCTTTTCTTGTCTCTCAGGAGCGGAGTTGCTAGTGTCAGCCGGCTCTCGCTGGCTTTAAGGACCCTTGCGGGGAACACTGGAGGCTGTGCTTGGGAAGATCCGCTAATCCAGGCAGTGTTTGCGGGGTGAGGCCCCGTGGCCCTTTCATTTCTCAGCTACTGGAGGTCTTGGCTCCAGGACATAAGCCCTCCTTCCATCGTTTTTATTTTTCTCCCTCTAACAGTGATTCTCAACCTGTACTGCGCGTTAAAATCACTTGGAGAGCTTTTAACAAAAACCTGGCTGCAACCCAGATAACTCAACCAGACTCTGGGGTAAGACCCAGGCATCGGCGGTAGGTAAGCCTCCCCACCCTGATGTACAAAGACTTCTTCCCAGCAGCCACCCACTTGATGTCAAATGCCCCCCTTAGAGTACCTAAACCTGCCCTAACCCCACATCCTCCTCCGCATTTTTGCTCCTTTTTAAGATATATATATTTCTCATCTTTTTGGAGCCCATTTCCCTCTTGTTAAAATCATTGAGGACCGCTGCTTACAAAATCCTATAGGTAATTCCAGTTATCATACTGGACCTCTTGGCGTCATTGGCCACTGTTGACCATTACCTCTCCCCACCCTCTCTGGGTGCTGTTTCTCCGTCACAGGGAGCCTCCTGTTCCAGCCTCTCGTGCACTCCGTTCTTGGCCCTCTTCTCTAGCTAGCAGTCTCCAAGTGTCCTTATTAAGAAGAATTAACTACACCTCCCGGACGACCCTAAATTATTGTATTTTACCACTCTGTCTTGGCAGAATGACTGATAGCGGCCCCCTTTCATATCAACAGTTCCCCATTTGTTATTTTTGCTGTCAAAATTAATAGGGCAATTGGTAAAATCTAAATAAGGCCTGTAAATTATATAATAGTTTTGAAAATCATGCTAATTTCTTCACATATCCACAGCAAAATTATCAAAATCAGTTGATATATGCTGGGCTCTATAACTTAGGTTTCTAAAATGTTTCCCAGTGATGCAGTTGCTGCTGGGCCTGAAACCATACTTTGAGAACCACTGATGTAAGAGAGTGGCTTTTTTTATAGGAAACAACCCACTAAAATATTTAGGAGTATAGGGGTTTCATGTTTGCATGAAAGAGATTTTTTAAAAACCCACATCCATATATAGATTTTAAAAAATAAAGCAATTGTGGTAAAATATTAACATTTGGGGAATCTGAGTGAAAGGTATATGCAAATTCTATTATTGCAAATTTTCTGTAAGTCTGAAATTGTCAAAAGGTAAAAAGAAAAATATGTACTGGTTTAGATAATAAATGATATGGTCACCTTTCATTAAGTCTGAGGGCTGACACTTAATGACTCTCCAGTATTTATCATCTAACCTATTTCTTCCCTTAATTCCAATTTGGTCTATGGTATATATTACTGCCCACTCACCACCTCCATTTGGAAGTCTATTAGGCACTTCAAATTTATTTTTGCTTTCAATTGTTTGTGTCACAATAAACAATCGAACAAAAAGCCCCTCCTGCAGAATTCCGTATCTACTGTAATACCATTCATGGAATTGCTCAAGCTAAAAGCCGTGAAATCACCCTTAACTCTTCTGTCTGTACTTTCAGCACATTTCATGAGTGTAATCATTTCTCACCTCTACTCCACCACCCTAATCCAAGCTACTATCATATAGATGGCCATGTCCTAATCTCAGGAGCCTATGAGTATCTTACTTTACATGGTAAAGGGGTTTTGCTTGTGTAATTAAGTTAAGGATCTTGAAGTAAGGAGATTCCTGGATTTTTTTCAGATGGAGCCAATATAATCGCAGGGGCTCTTATAAGTGAAAGAGGAACATAGGCAAGTGAGAGTCAGAGAAGGAGATATTATCATGGAAGCAGGGTGAGGCTACGATTGAAGGTGCTGTACTATTGGCTTTGAAGATGGAAAAGGCCACAAGCAGATGGCTTCTTGGAAGTCAGAAACCCAAATTGGGTTTCACTGAGCTAAAATTATGGTGTCAATAGAGCTGCATTCCTTCTAGAGCAGTGGTTCTCAACCTTCCTAATCCGCGACCCTTTAATACAGTTCCTCATGTTGTGGTGACCCCCAACCATAAAATTATTTTCATTGCTACTTCATAACTGTAATTTTGCTACTGTTATGAATTGTAATGTAAATATCTGATATGCAGGCTTCTATTTTCATTGTTACAAATTTAACATAATTAAAGCATAGTGATTAATCACAAAAACAATATGTAATTATATATGTGTTTTCCGATGGTCTTTTTTAAAAACATATATTGTATTGATTTTTTACAGAGAGGAAGAGAGAGGGATAGAGAGTTAGAAACATCGATCAGCTGCCTCCTGCACACCCCCTACGGGGATGTGCCCGAAACCAAGGTACATGCCCTTGACTGGAATCGAATCTGGGACCTTTCAGTCCGCAGGCCGACGCTCTATCCACTGAGCCAAACCAGTTAGGATGTTTTCCGATGGTCTTAGGCGACCCTGTGAAAGGGTCGTTCAACCACCAAAGGGGTCGCGACCTGCAGGTTGGCGACCCACAGGTTAAGAACCGCTGTTCTAGAGGATCTAGGGGAGAATAGTTTCCTTACCTTGTCCAGCTTCTAGAGGCCACCTGCATTCCTTGGTTTGTGGCCCCTTCCTCTGTCTTCAAAGCCAGAAGCAGAGCATTTTCCTCTTTTAAACCTCTCCCTAACTCTGCTTCCTTCTCCCACTTATATGGATTCTCGTGATTGATTACCTTGGGCCCACCAGACAATCCAGGATAATCATCCCATCTCAAAATCCATAATGTAATCACTCCTACAAAGTCCCTTTTGTCATGTAAGGAATATATTCAGAATTATGTAAGCCATTATTCTGCCTACCACATGGCGCCATGAACTTACATGAATGATGAATATGTTGGAATTTTCCTGTTCAGTTCTGGGTCCCACACCAATCAGGACATATTCCCAGAACAACCAGAACAGTCACCCCATTTATGAAAAAATTGAAGGAACCAGAGAGGTTTATCTAAGAAAAAAGAAGCTTCAGGACTGAACTGATTTGGGCACTATGGGAACAATGTATTTTCAAACATTGGCTGATGAGGGGTTTGGGTTAACTGAATACAGGACCCCAGTTAGCCAGAAATTGTGACAATAAATTATAAACTTTCAGGAAATTGGGCCATAATCTTAATCTGGAAATGAAAATAAACATTTTTTAATCATTAGCAATCAGAAGACTCTACAATGCAATGTCACAAGATAATCTAATTTATTGTTTCCTGGATAAAAGAAAGTACCTGTATATTTGGTTTAATTGCTAAAGCAAAGTCAACTCAAAAATATCATGGGGATGTAAAATACAGCCTAGGAAATCTATAATAATAAAAGGGTAATATGCTAATTAGACCGGATGTCCTTGTGGAAGAAGCCGGGGTTGGAGGGAAGCCCAGGTCCTGAGTGCCTGCAGGCGGCCAGAGGGAAGCCAGTGCTGGCAGCCGGGGAAGGAATGCCTACTCTTGCACAAATTTCGTGCATCGGGCCTCTAGTATAATCAGTAATATTGTATAACTGTGTATGGTGCCACCTGGGTACTAGCCTTACCAGGGAGACCACTTGGTAAATTATGTTAAGTGTCTAACCACTATGCTGTACACATGAAACTAATACAAAATAATATTGAATGTCAACCGTATTTGACAAATTTTTAATTTTAAAAAAAGCAAAGTGGATAATTGCTATTTCCATGATGAATTTCAAATGACAAATTACAGAGAAGGAAAAGGGTGTTGGAGACCCATTGCTCAAAACCTTTTCATTTCTAATAAAAAGTCAGTTTTACCTAGAAGTTAACCTAACCTGAAAGGCTGTGGGGGTACAAAAGGCAATGATTATGCAATGGGAACAAAGTTGGGATTTTTCCTGATGCTTGCAAGATCATAAGTTAAAATGTATTTAAATAAATGCTTTATGATTGTTTATGATCGTGATGCTGCTAATAAACCATTTCTGACCTCTTGACTAGCAAAAACAAGGAGTAAGGCAAATTGAGCAGGCTGAATATGTAGAGGGTAAAACTAAGCTTTCAAGTTAGGCATAGAGATTTGTATCCCCGACCTCCATCTACTAGCCCTAAGGTCTTAAGCAAGTAACAGCGGGACCTTCTGGGGAAATTAAATGAGAGAATAATACATGCATAGCACTTTTGGGAGTCAGCGTTCCAATCAATGTCTGTTCGCTACAGTTGTTATGACTTCGCTCTTATTTATGCACTTTTGCAAGAACAGACGCAACCGGAAGACGTAAAAAAAAGAGAGAGAAAGAGTTTTTTAATAAATAAACTCAGTCCCGAAACCGGAGGTAGCGAACAGTATGGTATGTTGGTACCGAAGTCATCTCTCAAATGTCAATCCACTCTCCGCCACCAGAGGGTTGCAGCAGAAGTAACCGGAAGTGACTCTGCCCCTAACTAGCATGGCGTCCAGGTGGTTTCCGTTCTCCTCTCTATGGTTACAGCAATTGGCCTCGGCGGCTTCTCGCGGGTTTACCAGACGTCACCGGTTCAGCAAACTACTCCCTCCCCGCTCTCCTTGGAAGGCGGGGCTACGAAGAGATGCTGCCTGGTGATTGGTTGCAGCGCGTTAGGAAGTTGGCCTGCGCACGCCTGGACGTGATTGATTGCTGAGAGGCGGGGCGACTAGACTGCTGAAGAGGTAGCTGCCGCTGTGGGAGAAACATGGGTCAGGCGGCCAAGGTGACAGGGCCTGGGGAGGTGTTGGGTGCGATGCCGACAGGGGAGAGCGGGGGATGGGGGCGTTAAGAGCGCAGCCTGACGAAAGTTGTATGGAGTTCTGTAACGGGTTCAGGCCCTCCACAGAGGATGTGGCCTTCGCCCCTGAGGAGAACGGTTGTGCAGGTGTGGAAGAGGGAGGGGGGCACCAGTGGTTCCTAGTTCTTAATCGGCTCTGGTACCGAGGGTGTTCAGTAATGCGAGACTTGAGCTCTGCCCGCGTTTCATCTCTCCACTGAGTAGCTGAGTATTTGTCGGAGGGACCGGTTTCCCAGCCGTGGGAAGTGCTGGGGACGCTAACGGCAGCCTGCGCCCCAACCGCCCGGTGAGGTGAAAGGTGTAGTCACGCAATTGGAAGGCACACAGAAGTCTAGGAACCACGGAAATCAGCACATTCACTTACCACAGGTAGCTCTTCGCGACACAGAGCAGAGACCCCGGTTCTCTGAATGAGCTTGGGAAGCGGTGGTCCTGCCGGGGTCACATGGTCTCAGGCTCATTTCTCGCCACTGTTACACGTTCCTGGCCTGTGCACAATTTCAGCCTGTAGCCATCCTAACCTCCAATAGCAGCATGGCAGGTTAGACCTGTCCCTGTCACTGGCGGAAGCACAGGCATTGGGAGGGGGAAATGGCCTGCTACAATAAAGTGAGGGAAAGCAATGCTATGGCCAATAACAGGTAGCCGCCAAGCAATGCCTCATGTACTACTGAACTTGGTGTTCTCACTACGGTTTAAACGATTGTAAAGGGTTATTCATTTTAAAATTTTATTGAGTTTCCATAATACCTATTAGTAATACCTAAGACCCAACATTTAGCCTATGCTATTTAGGTATAGTGGGTGCAACAATAAACAAATCACCTCTGCCTTCATACAGAAGTCTAGCAGGTCAGAGATTTTTAACAATTACTTAATTAGAATTGTATTAAGTGCTTTGAGCTGAAAATACAGTGTATTTTGTGTGCATATAATTGGGCTTTAACCTATCTGGAAGGATGCAAAACAATACTTCATAGAAGTTTAAGTTAGGTTGAGACGTGAAGTTTAACTAGAAATAGCTAGGAGAAAAGAGAAAAAGAACATTCCAGAAAGAGGAAGTAGCATATGGAAAGTTCTTGAAATGGAAAATTGCTTGGAAAACTTGAATACAAATGAAAGGATTCATTCCAAAAACACTTTTAGCCAGGCCTATAATATATAGAAGACACCCTTGCCAAGTGCGGAGGATACAAAGGTAACCAAGAAGAAGTATGGTACAAGTGAGCCATTAACATACAGTGTAGTAAGTGCCCAATGGTGGGATGTACTCAGGAGCGGCATATAACGCAGACTTAGAAGGAATAGATAAATAATGACTACAGTAAAACCTAGTACAGAAATTATACGATACACCCTTAAAATTACCTCATTATTAAAAAAACAACAAAACCGAGGCAAAAAGTCTGAGTAACTTGTCCAAGCTTATAATAAGTGGCAATGTCAGATTCAAACTGATCTGTGAAGAATACATTTCTATATACACTGCCTAAATTTGTCCAATCAGAATAAGTAAATGGGGAAGAGAAGACAATATGTGACTTAGCTTTCTGCTTTTTAATAAAAGTTTATTAACTCCAAGGTGATAGTAGCTCTGATAGCCCCAAGGCAGTAATGATGACCTCAACTTAGGTCCATCTACAAAGACCCCATCCTATATAATAAAAGGCTAATATGCAAATTGACCGAACAGCAGAACAACTGGTTGCTATAACAAGCACTGACCACAGCAGCGGTGGCGGGAGCCTCTCCTGCCTCTGTGGCAGTCAGACATCCCCCAAGGGCTCCCGGACTGCAAGAGGGCACAGGCCAGGCTGAGGGACCCACCCCCCCTGAGTGCACGAATTTCATGCACTGGGCATCTAGTTTCCAAATAAGGTCACATTTGCAGGTGCTAGGGATTAGGACTTCAATATGCCTTGGGGATAGATCACATTTTATTTACCCGTTTATGAGTTGAACATTTGGGTGGTTACTTTTTGACACTATTATGAATAGATACTATGGACGTTCATGTATAAGTTTTGTGTGAATACATGTTTTTATTTTTCTTGGGTATATATCCAAGCCGGATCATATGATAACTCTATGTTTAATTTTTGAGCAACTGACAAACATTTCCAAAGTGGCTGCACCATTTTACATTCCCACCAACAATGTATACATCCCAATAGTTCCACATTCTTGTCAACATTTGTTTTTTACTATCTTTTTTTACTGTAGCCCTTCTACTGGAGTGAAGTAGTATCACTGAGATTAAAATTTTTTTAAATTTTATTTTACTGTTTAAAGTATTACAAATAGTAGTACATATGTCTCCTTTTTTCCCCCCAATGACCTTCCCCTAGCCTCCCCTACCCGCCCCCCCAGTGTCTTGCGTCCATTGGTTATGCTTATATGCATACATACAAGTCCTTTGGTTGATCTCTTACCTCCTCCCCACAACCCCTCCCCAGCCCTCCTGCTGGTAATTTGACAGTCTGTTTGAGATTTAAATTTGTATTTCCCAAATGGCAAATTATGTTGAACATTTTTCTTTGGCCTTAATAGCCATTTGTTTGTCTTCTTTGGAGAAATGTCTATTCAAATCCTTTGCCTATTTAAAAAAATGTTTTATTATTGAGTTGTTCTTTTTTTTTTAATTTTTTTATTGCTTAAAGTATTACAAAGGGTATTACATATGTGTCCTTTTTTTCCCCTCCCTTGACAATCCCCTGGCCTCCCCTACCCCCCAGTGTCTTATGTCCATTGGTTATGCTTATATGCATACATACAAGTCCTTCGGTTGATCTCTTACCCCCTTCCCTCTATTGAGTTGTTCTTTATATGTTCTAGATAACTGGCCCTTTATCAGATATAAGGTTTGCAAATATTTTCTCCCATTCTGTGGGATGTCTTTTCTCTTTTTTGATAGTATCCTTTCCCTTTCTCACTTTAAAATAAAATTTTTAGTTTTTATAAAGGTGATAAATGTGTAAAGATTAAGAAATAGTTGGCTAGTTGGTTCTGCGTCCTGGTGCTGCATTATTTTGGAGCCCATGTGGTCCCTTCGCTGAGATGCCTGAGGAAACCCACACTCACAACCAACCAATGGAGGAGGAAGAGGTTGAGACGTTTGCCTTTCAGATAGAAGTTGCCTAGTTGATGTCACTGATCATCAATATTTTCTACTTGAATAAAGAGATACTTCTGAGGGAATTTATTTCAGTTTCATCAGATTCACTGGACAAGATCAGCTGTGAAAGCTTGACAGATCCCAGTAAACTGGACTCTGGGAAAGAGCTGCACATTAACCTCATTCCAAACAAATTATGACCAAGCTCGCACTATTATGAATACTGGAATTGAATGGCCAAGGCTGATTTGATCAATCATCTTGGTACTATTGCCAAGTCTGGGACCAAAGCATTAATGGAAGCTTTGCAGGCTGGTGCAGATATCTCTGTGATTGGTCATTATGGTGTCAGGTTGTAATTAGCCTATTTGGTTCCTGAAAAAGTGCCCGTAATCACCAAATATAACAATGATGAGCAGTATGCCTGGGAGTCTTCCCCAGTAGGATTGTTCACAGTTAGGACTGACACAGGTAAACAGAGGTCATCCTGAATCTAAAAGAAGACCAGACCAAGTACTTGGAGGAGAGTAAGATAAAGGAGATTGTGAAAAACACTCTCAATTTATTGGCTACTCCCTTACTTTTTTGTGGAGAAGAACGTGATAAAGAAGTCAGTGATGATGAGGCTGAAGAAAAGGAAGAGAAAGAGGAAGATTTAAAAGAAGAAGAAGAGCCCAGCCGGTGTGGCTCAGTGGTTGAGCCTTGGCTTATGAACCAGGAGGTCATGGTTCGATTCCGCATCAGGGCACAGGCCCCGGTTGTGGTTGCGGGCTCAAAATCTACAGGGGGGCGTGCAGGAGGTGGCCAATAGGTGGTTCTCTCTCATTGTTGATGTTTCTATCTCTCCCTCTCCTTTCCTCTCTAAAATAAATAAAAATATATTTTTAAAAAGAAGAAAAGGAGACCAGAGACAAACCTGTAATCAAAGATGTTGGTTCTAAGCAGAGCTAGTTTTTCTCTTCTAGTTTGATGTTGGCTTATTTTAACAGAATGAGGTTATGTTTGTTGTGAGATGTGTGTAACCTAATGTTTGTTAACGTTGTGGTCTAACTCTGAAGTGTTTAGCTTTCAAGTGGATTCCTTAGTAGACCAAATCTTTTGTCACTGAAATGTTTTGAGATAAACATGGCTAAAACAACTTTCATTCCCTAGGGTCTACTTCTTAAACCTTCTATCCCCTGTATTTATCAACTGCATGTATGGCCTCTAGAAATTAGTATACTAAGCTGAACCAATCTGATGGGAGTAACTATCCATACAGCTTGTTTTCCAAAGAAAAGTATTATTTAGAGTAGCAAAATTATAAGCTCACCTAGGCATGTTATAAAGCCATTTGAAAGTAACTCAGAGCAAGTTTTGTGAATGAAAATGTGGTGCTCAAGTCACATTCTGCTTTAAAAAAGCTTTTGACAAATACAGATGAATTAAAAAAAAAGAAATAATGTTACACAAATGCCAGTAGGTATCTACTTCCTTCTACATACTCCTAATTCCTGCTCTCCAGAGATAAGAGCTTTTAATCATTTTAGCTATTCCTTCTGATATTTACCTCCATGTTTCTAAACATGCTTAAACTACTATTTATTTTCTCTTTGGAGATACTATTTTTTGACTTTTAACATTGGAGGTTGAGGACTAAGCTTCCCCTTACACCCTATTCTTCACAATATACACATTTTGGTGAATCAGTTTTTGTCTCTGATATTATTTGACTATATAAAATTTATCCACAGCTGGGATCTCTAATATAACTATATGATTACATTGTCTTTAATTTATAATTCTTCTATTTTCTTGAAATTAACTAATTCCATTGTTTTTATCATTGGCTTGTTTTTATCATTGGCTAGTTTCCTGCATATCTGTTCCCGAACTCTGAGCAAAACTAAAATCTACCAGTTTTATTTTTTCTCTAGTAACGTCTTTTCTGGATCAGTTCAACCTTTTCTGTAGTCCAGACTAGTTGCTTTTTCAGCTGGTTGCACAAATGCTGACCTATATTTGTCCTTTACCGTTATCTCTGCCTCTCTTGTGTTGGATCACCTGTCTTTCTGATTCCCATGCTTTTTTCTTTAGTGGTTCATCCCTTGTTTTGGTGGAACACATGTAGTGTTCCAAGAAAAGGTGTATGGCATTATGAGACTTTGCATTTCTAAAAAATGTCTCTTTGCCCTTGTTTTAAATGATAATTTGGCTGTGTCTGGTGTTCTAAGCTGGATTTTTTTTTTCAAAACTTGAATATAATATACTATTGTCTTCTCACACTGATCTGAGAAGTCAGGTGCCATTCTGATCACATACCAGTGTATGTGAACTGTTTTTTTCTCTCAGATTGTTCTTTTTATTAGCATTGTGCTGAACTTACATCATGAGCCGTATGGGTTTTGTGTTGGGCACTTGATGGAGCCCTTTCAATCTAGTAACTCAAGCACCTTACTTGGTGAAATTTCCTTAATTTATTCTCCCTTTTAATTTCTGTTTTCTCTGTTCTCTCTTGTTGGAGCTATCTAGATCACTCCCTTAATTATCTTTTCTCTCCTCAATTTTTTTTATTTTATTTATTTTTATTTTTTTAAATTAAATCTTTATTGTTCAGATTACATTTGTTCCTCTTTTTTTCCCCCTTTTCCCCCATTTATTCACTTGGTTCTTAGATTCACTTGTTGATAGATGCATGTTTGTTGTTCACAATTTGTATCTTTACCTTTTTCTTCTTCCTCTTCTTAAAGGATACCTTTCAGCATTTCGTATAATACTGGTTTAGTGGTGATGAACTCCTTTAGCTTTTCCTTATCTGTGAAGCTCTTTATCTGACCTTCAATTCTGAATGATAGCTTTGCTGGATAAAGTAATCTTGGTTGTAGGTTCTTGGTATTCATCACTTTGAATATTTCTTGCCATTCCCTTCTGGCCTGCAAAGTTTCTGTTGAGAAATCAGCTGACAGTCGTATGGGTATTCCCTTGTAGGTAATTGAGTCTCTTTCTCTTGCTGCTTTTAAGATTCTCTCTTTGTCTTTTGCTCTTGGCATTTTAATTATGATGTGTCTTGGTGTGGTCCTCTTTGGATTCCTTTTGTTTGGGGTTCTCTGCGCTTCTTGGACCTGTAAGTCCATTTCTTTCACCAGGTGGGGGAAGTTTTCTGCCATTATTTCTTCAAATAGGTTTTCAATATCTTGCTGTCTCTCATCTTCTGGCACCCCTATTATTCTGATGTTGGTACGCTTGAAGCTGTCCCAGAGGCTCCTTACACTATCTTCGTATTTTCGGATTCTTTTTTCATTTTGCTTTTCCGGTTGGGTGTTTTTTGCTTCTTCGCATTTCAAATCTTTGACTTGATTCTTGCGCTCCTCTGGTCTGCTATTGGGTGTCTGTATAATATTCTTTATTTCAGTCCGTGTATGCTTAATTTCTAGTTGGTTCTTTATCATAGCATCGAGGGTCTCATTAGTTTTCGTGACTCTCTCCTCAAGTTTATTGACAGCTTCTAGCACATTTTTGCAAGCCCTCAAAATTGCGATTTTTAGCTCTATATCCTCCATTTCTGTCATGTTTTTTTGTCTCCGCATTTTTTATGCTTTCTTGGTGCACCCCCTAGTGGTCTTTGTGCGCAGTCTTGTTCTAGTTGAGCCTTGATTGTTGTAGTTAATACTAGAGGGATTTGACCACCAGGCCGACTGGCTGTGTGAATCAGCTGTGTCTGCCGCGGAAAACTTCTGTCCTCTGGGGAGGTGCTAATCTAGCCTTTGCCTGAGGCTATCCGGCAAATGGCTCTGCGCAGGGCTTGGGCGGGGCGGGCTCAACAGGGCGGGCGGAGGGAGCCGTTATGGTGCCCTCAGTCCTGTTCCCAGAGGCTCTGCTTCTCAGAACCCCCGGAACCGCTGCAAACCTCGGAGGGAAAGCTGCCTTCCAACTGATGCCAGACACTCCCGCTTCTCCCGTTTGGGTCCGAGTCCCCAGCGATTCGCCCGTATCTGGAGCTCAGAGTCTGAGACTCCCCCCTGACCGAAAACGACAACCGCGCTCTCAGCCACCAGCCCGCTTTGCGCGCGCACCTCCGCACCTGAGTTTTTTCCACACTGCGCCTCCTCTGAGCCTCGGTGTGCTGTTATTTTTCCTTCTAGTTGAAGAGTCTCTCCTCAGCCAGCCTTCCTGTGGTTCTGGGTGATGTCCGTTCCGTCTTTTAGTTGTATTTTTGAAGTGGTTGTTTGCGGCAGCAATCTCCGGTGTTTACCTATGCCACCATCTTGGTCTCTCCCTCTCTCCTCAATTTTTATTTGTCAACTTAATCTCTGCTTTTACTGATTTTATATCCATAACCTTTTGGGAGTTACTGAACATTCCTTTTTAAAAAATCTTCATCTGAGGATATGTTTACTGATTTTTTAGAGAGGGGGGAGAGAAAGAGAGAAACGTCAACGTGAAAGATAGACATCAATCGGGCTGCCTCCCACACTCTCCCTGACCAGGGATCAAATCCAAAACCAAGCATCTGCTCCAACGGGAAATAGAACCTGAAGCTTTCTGGTGTGCAGGACGATGCTTCAACCAACTGAGCCACCCGGCCAGGGCCTAAAGGCTCCTTTTTAAATTTTTCTTTTTGTTTTTATTGCATGTTTGCAATAACTTGGGAGTTAAGTGTAGTTGTCTTTATGTTTTCTGCTCCTTGTTTCCCGTTTCTGTTTTGCTGTATGCCTTTGAAGTTATAGGTTTTCAAAAATATATAAAATACTTAAAACAGTACCTAGCACACATGGTATACTCAGTAAATGTTAGATATTGTCTGGTGAATGGACTGGAGAAAAGGAGGAAGGGTGACAGAGTAACAAATCTTTTTAAGTAGTCTAAGAAACGGGTGGGGCCCTAACCGGTTTGGCTCAGTGGATAGAGCGTCAGCCTGTGGACTGAAAGGTCCCAGGTTCGATTCTGGTCAAAGGCATGTACCTTGGTTGCGGACACATCCCCAGTAGGGGGCGTGCAGGAGGCAGCTGATCGAAGTTTCTCTCTCATTGATGTTTCTCTCTATCCCTCTCCCTTCCTCTCTGTAAAAAATCAATAAAATATATTTTTTTTAAAAAAGAAACGGATGGGGAGCATCTGAACTTAAATAGTTTGGGGCTATGGTGGAAATACAAAAATTAGACATCCTAAAGTTCCCACATGAAGAGTAAGATAGATTTAGAGATGATTTTAAAATTTCTGGCTTGAGAAAGACTGTGTCTTCCATTACTGAAATTGAGAAGACAGGAGAAAAAGCAGTATCGGGGGAATAACATTGAGTATCCTTTTGGACTTGAGAAGTATGAGGTGGCTTTTGGCTAGGCTCCGCCCTTCAGTACTGACTGGCTATTCGGGACTAGGTTGGGTCTTAGAGTCTAGGCTCGGCACTTCGGAACTAGTGTCAGCCCTTTGGAACTAGATTCGCCTCTTAGGCCTTGGCTGGGCTAGTCCGGGCTAGGGCCATGACAATCATATTGATCCGGGCCTTGGGGAAGCCCCGGTCTCCACAAGAGTGCCTTACAGGAAAGGACCCTAAGGGAGCATCCTGGCCTAGGAGCCAGAGGTTGAAAGGGCTGCTGACTCTCAAGGAGAGGTGCCTGTGGAAGTCACTGACACACAGGCTGGGTTCCTTGAGCCTGCGGGAAGAACAGGTATTGCTTAGGGGCTGGGCTCTTTGGGGCGAGGTTCCGTCCTCCAGACAGGGTTTGGCTGTTCGGGGCTGGGTTCTTTAGGGCTAGGCTCCCCAGTCGGGACTGGCTACAGCTGTTGGGGTTTGGGCTCAGCTGGGCTCTCCCAGGCTAGGCTCCGTTTCGGGACTAGTTTGTGTGTTTTTTTAAAGAAGTGCGAGGTGGCCTCAGTCTATCGCTAAATCCTCCTCACAATCTGACTCCTACCAAAGTGCCAGGCTCTTTTCTCTCCATTTTTTAACATAATCTTGTAAAAATCAAAAGTGTCAGCATTCTACTTATTTTTTGAGAAATCACAATTGAACTTGCCTGAATTACCCAAAACATCTTCCTTCTGAGCTCTCTTAAGATTTAATAAGTTCACGAGTTTGTGTATACTAGTATGTGCCTCCCTTTAAGAACAGAAGAAGGCCTCCATATCTTAAGAAAAATGATAATACATACCAGACTGGTAAAGTTGTTTACCTTGGCAGACTGGTTTTGCAGGGGAATTACTAACTTTTTAACTATCTTTATATTGTTTTGTTTCAAAGACCTTTGTATTATTTTTGTAAATAAAGTTTTTAAATTTAAAGATAAATAATCAATGTAAAGGTATTTCCAGAAACCCTGGTTTTCATCAGCTACTTTGAAAAATAGTCTATGAAACGAACAGAACAGAATTACTATTTAAATCTTTTAATTATGTAAAATGTGATTTTTTTTTTCTTTTGCTGTCTGAGTTCTGATTTTCTTGATAGGTTTTACAGCTCTTTAAAAGATTGCACAGGACCAGACAACAAGTTTTTAAAAATGATACCAGAGCATTAGAAGGTAAGCTTACTAATTTTCCTTTGGAACAAGTCTATTCTTCAGATGACTGCTCATATATCCAAGAGACCCTGTATAGTCAAGCCTCATCTTAGGGAATGGCCTTCACTACCTCTTCCCTAATGTTGTTATGTGTTATAAAGATTAGTTTACAATTACACTTTTTTGAGGAGTATACACTTAAAGAAAATTAAAGTCCGTTCTCAATTTTATTATCACAATCACACACTCTAGGACTAGATACTACCATATTGTTAATGCCTTGTGTCATTCTAGAAGTGACAGCACCTAAGAAAGAGAATCTATTCCAAGCAATTCCACATTTAGCATTTCACTGTTTTAAGTGATTTCTATCTTACCTGGTTCTGTGTTGGTCATGTTCACTTCCAATCCTCATACATTTCTAAACCTCTTTACCTAGGTTAAGTGTCTTCACTGTCCCAGGAAATTCTAGTTTTTGTAATTCACCAAAAAGAATTTCTTGAATATTAAAATATATGCCTTATATTGTACTTTACACAAATTCCTCATTTAATTATTATAACAACCCTGTGATATAGTTGCTATTACAGTAAACCCTTGATTTTGTGGAGATTGATTTAACAGAATTAGAATTTAATGGAAAAATTTCTAGCCTGTATTTCATGTGAAATTAATTTAACACCCTATTAATTTTAAAATGCTTTAAACCAAGATTTGTTTATAATTAAATTGATAAATTTGTTATTTTGTTTATTTGTTATTAAAAAATTTATTTTTAACAAATTTTAGTGAATAGGCCATATGTTTGAAAAATACTAGTAATTTCACCAACATAAATAAATGTTACATATCTACAACCATAGTCTGCATATTTAAATCCAAGAGTGACTGCTCATAAACAATGTTCAGCAAATGATTAGCATTTGATCACAGATACCAAAGCATTAGAAGTTAAGTTTTTGTTTGTTTTTCCTTTGTAACATCCCACGGGGTAATTGGTTCTATTGTTGCATGGCGTGACTTTCTGCAGCAGTTTTAACGCGTGCCACCCATCTTCCCACATGAGCTAAGCCATGCCTACCCCAGACGTGTGCATTTGTTTATTCACAGTAACTGGTGAATGCACACATTTACTAGATCTATTTAGTATAAATTTAAAATTACAGTCATACATATAGAAAAGTTTTCTGTGAAATTAAACTTTCATACATAATTTTAATTACACAAATGTATCTACATTTGTCAATTTTTTAACATACACATTTGGAAAACCTGTCTACTATATATATAAAAGGCTAATATGCATAGTGTCCCCTCGGGAGTTCAACCAGGAGACCGGGAGTTCGATCACTCACTATGTCGTGCACTGACCACCAGGAGGCGGCACAGAACAAAGGAAGGCCCCGGCCGGCAGCCAGAAGGCCCCAATTGGCCCTGATCACCAGCCAGATCTAGGGACCCTACCTATGCACAAATTTCGTGCACTAGGCCTCTAGTTTTATTATAAAATGGACTGTCAGCTTTAACAGACACCCTGCCTCACCCGAATTAGTCCATTATATCGAGGTTTTACTCTATGATTTCTGTTAAGATAAGAAACTAAAAAATGTGAAAGAATTTGCCCCACATTATACTTAGCAAGAGGTAGAGCTAGGATTCAGCCTAAGCAGTCTGGTTCCAAAGCCCAAACTCTGAACCACCTTGCATATTGAAATTCTGAAGCATAAAAGGAAGGTTTTATGACTATTCTCCCATCAAAATAGCATATTTTTGTTGCTTTAAATGTTTTTAAGTAAAGTAATTATAAGAACAGGTAACATTGTATGTTTACTAAGCACTTTATATGGATCATTCCATTAAATGCTTACAGCAATACAATAAGGCAATTTGTCAGGTTAAACTGAATTATGCTGCTGTAATGATGCTGAAGTCTCAGTGGTGTACATGAACAAAAGTTTTATTTATCATTTACTTTACATGTCAGCCACGGTGCTCAGAGCTGCTATATATTTATTTTAATTTGTGTATGTGTGTCTGGGTTAATGTGCTTGTAAGTATTAAGTTTTGCCATCTTAAAAACATTTTAATTTAAATTCTTAGATTTATAGAAACAAAGAATTACATTGGATTTATTGAATCTAATATCTAGAAGTACACAAATGAAATTGGAAGTGAAAAGCAGGAAACAAAAGTATTAGAGTGCTGAAGGTTTATATTAGATTTAATTACAAACTTGCCCGCCTGTCATAAGCTCTCTAAGAGACTTCTTTAATAAATTTCTGATTTTTATACTTTGTTTTACATGGAGCAAATATATTTCCTCTACTAGAGAAGTAGTCATTCATAATGAATAACATGTAAATTATTGGGGCAGGAATTATAAATTAGAAAAGCAAATAACTTTATGTATTTTTCTTTCTGTAGCAGCCAGAATAAAAATAAATGAAGAATTCAAAAGTAATAAAAATGAAGCTTCCTCTAAGAAAATAGAAGAGGTACAGTAATTGAATTTTTCAATTTTACAATAAAATGCTTGTAAATTGTATTAGCAACTAGAGCAGTGGTTCTCAACCTTCTGGCCCTTTAAATACAGTTCCTCATGTTGTGACCCAACCATAACATTATTTTCGTTGCTACTTCATAACTGTAGTGTTGCTACTGTTATGAATCGTAATATAAATATCTGATATGCAGGATGGTCTTAGGCGACCCCTGTGAAAGGGTCGTTCAACGCCAAAGGGGTCACGACCCACATGTTGAGAACCGCTGAACTAGAGGAAATGATGAAAATAGAGGGGTTATGTGAAATAAAAACCCGATAGTTAAAGCAACTGTAGATAACCACTTGTTTGGTATGGCTCACCTCCTCTGGGTCATCTGCCTACAGCCATAAGAAAACAAGTTGCCTGGTAAAAAGAACAAGGATGGTAGCCCTGGTCAAAACAAGAGCAGCTGAATCAACTCAGACACCCACAGAAGTGCTATCTTCACTTAAGGCAACTGACTGAAACTGAAAAGAATGAGTGCTGTGGTAACTCAGAACTATAGAGGAAACACCTACTCATTTAGCTCAACTAGACAGATTTTTTTTCTTTTAATTCCTGTCTTGGCAATGGAAGTTAACCAGCCACAGTTCATGAACACTCTTGGTTTGCCTTTAATATTTGCATTTTAGTCAATTGTTTAAGACAGTCTACTGAAATTAGTCCGTGAGCTCCCTGGTACTCCCAATGCATATTCATTGAAAAAATTCACCATGATTTGTTTCCTGTATAAAATCATGCTGCGTATATACGCTATCTCAGTTTTGAGCTTCCTAAATATTCCTGTTTCTAACCTTGGATAAATATAGGGAAAGGACCCATAGGAAGAAAATGAAAAGTGGAAAACTATTTGCAGGGGTAGTTATGATTCCAAGAATTGGTTTGATAAAAAGGAAAGCATAAATTAGAGAAATTCTTCTGTGTTTAAATAGAATTTCCGAATGTTAAAATTTTTTTATGAAAATCATTTATATTTTGAAAAATGTATTTTTGAAATAGTAAATATCTATAATAAGCCAACAAGACAAAATGAAATAGCTTAAGAATTTCTATCCCTGTAATATAAACAAAAAAGGGAAAGATTTCCCTTAAGCATATGATAGGGCAAACAGGGACTATGAAATTTTTATTCATGTAGAAGTTAAGATGACATTAGAGTCAAGTTATGAATTGAAGTTAAAAGGTATATATGGAGGTTTGTCCTATTTGTTATTTAGTAAACTGATAACAATTTGGCAATTTCTAAATTTTTAAATCATGATTTAAACTTCTAAAATTTTTTACATTTTAAATTGTTTATATCAACTAAACTGAGAAAATGAACTACAATCTCCCAAATTCATTTTACTTTTAGACTACTAATTTAACATTAAGCAATCTAGAAATTAGATATTTGTTATATATAAATACATATGGTACTTTCTACAACTCTTCATATGTTAAATATTTAGTACCTTTTGGATAATTACATTGTCATATATTAGAGGGTTTGTTAGACTTGGCACCAAAAGGAAACTTAAGCATCCTCTATACCAGCAGTTTTCAAACTTTTTGGTCTCAAGATCCCTTTACCTTCTTAAAAATTGAGTACCCTAAAAAGTGCTGTTTATGTGTTATACTTATCAGTATTTACTATATTAGGATTTAAAACTGAAAAATTTAAAATAGATATTGATTGAATCATTTGAAAACAATAGACCCATTACATGTTAAAAAATACATTATTTATGAAAAATACTACATTTTCAAAATAATTTAGTGAGAAGAATGGCATGCTTTACATTTTTCAAATCTCTTTCATGTCTGGCTTAATAGAAGTCAGCTATATTCTATCTGCTTCCTCATTCAACATGTTTTTTAGGTTGAAGTATATGAAGAAAATTCAGTCTCACACAAGTAGTTGGAAAGGTAAAGGAGTATATAATAACCTTTTCCAAAAATTGTGAATATTCTTTGAAACTATACATCACCAAGTGATAGATTTCCTTAAAGGTTAGTTTCAATGTGGAACTCTATTCCTATTAGTCCAATGGAAGTTATACATTTAAAAAAAAATTTTTTTTTTTTGGCTCTAGAATTCATACACACCACCTCTTGGTCTCCTCTAATCCCTTGCTCCTCATTTATCCTTGTTCCCAACCTTAGACCTAGGACTCCACTCAGCTTCTGCACCTCCAATGAGAAGGCCCTTTTTTTCCCTTTCTCTACCTTGCTAAGAAGCTTCTCAAGTCTGTCCGGGTGTGAGGTTTTGATCACTCACAGGCTTTCATGTCAATTAATGGCAGCTCCCTCCTCCTGATGTTCAGACCAATATCCTTTGTGCTGTCTTGACTGCTTTCCTTCTCTCACACTTTAATCTGGCAGCAGATCCTATTGGCTTAACCTTCAAAATATACCTAGAATTCAACCACTTCTCACCCTCCTCATCATTATCTCCAGGTTCAAGTTACCATCATTTCTCACTGAATTGTTACAACAGCCTCCTCCTGGGTCTTCCTTCTTTTGCCCTAAATTCCTACAGCCTGGTCTCAATACTTTTAAAGGCAGAGTGAACCTTTTTTTTTTTTTTAAAGGCATATTCTATCCTTCCTCTGCTCACAACCTCCATGACTCCTCATCCCATGACCTATAAGACCATATCATCTGACCTCTGTTAACTTCCCTCCTCACTTCACTCATTTTCAAGAAAAAAATCTAGCAAATACCCAAGTCTGAATAATCATAGTTTGTCTGCCTGTCAGTGGTTCATTCAAGTACAAATGGTATTTCATAGAGAAAACTCTACTTCTCACAACTCAAACAGTGTAGAAGAGTCTAGGCCAGTGGTCAGCAAACTGCGGCTCGCGAGCCACATGCAGCTCTTTGGCCCCTTGAGTGTGGCTCTTCCACCAAATACCACGTGCGGGCGCGCACGTACAGTGCGATTGAAACTTCGTGGCCCATGCACAGAAGTCGGTATTTTGTGGAAGAGCCACACTCAAGGGGCCAAAGAGCTGCATGTGGCTCGCGAGCCGCAATTTGCTGACCACTGGTCTAGGCTCTAGTATCATGAAAATAAATTTGACATCATGGATCCTCTGAAAGGGTGTTAAGGTGCCTCAAGGGGTCCACAGCGTTGAGAGTTGCTGTTCTAGTCCATTTCTTCATTTTGCAAATAATGAGGTCTGAAACTCAGAGTAGGTTATTAAACCAAGGCCATACACTTAATGACAGAACCAGAATTGGAATCCAAGTATTCTGACTCCTAATCCAACACTCTTTCTAGTGTTCAGAACATCCAAGTCTATAAAAGAAAGATTCACTACCACCACCCCAAAAAAACTATGTGTTTTAAACACATTGTAAAATATATATGTACAACAAAAAAAATACTCTAAACCTGTTTTGGATCAAAATATGAACAGGTGGATAAAAGTTAAAAGTATATGCCTGTCTGAGCTTTCTGCACACTTAGAATGGTTATAAACAGTTAAAGGCAGATTATTACATAAAAAATTTGTAGTAAACCTATACTTTTCAAAAACAGTACATTCATATGAACCATTGAAAAACACCTGAAGGATTTATTCTGTGTTTGGTTTTCTTAACAGCTAATAAAAATAGGTTCTGATGTGGAATTGTTGCTCAGAACATCTGTTGTACAAGGTATTCACACAGACCACAATACACTGAGTAAGTAAAATAAAAGAAAAATGTTTTCTGATTGCAATGTGTTTTAAAATATTGAGCAATTACAGTGCTTTTAATGCTGATTGGTAAAAGAGCTTGATTTTGCCAATGTGGTATATATTATACATATTGGTAAGGCTACCATTTAAAAATACTGAAGTATGAAACTTTGTTTTACCAGATTTTTTCTTTTTAAATTTTTTAAAAAAAACTTTACTGATTATATCACAAAACTACAGTTACAAAGACAGTATGACTATTTTTATCATATTTATTTGGGGTTCTTAATATTTCTAGTACCATTTACCACTTACCTAGACTAAGTCTGTTTCTCTATCTTTTATTCTATGACTAGAGGCCCGGTGCACAAAAATTTGTGCACTGGCAGGTGTGGGGGGTGGGGGCTGGAGGGGTGTCCCTCAGCCCCACTTGTGCCCTCTCACAGTCTGGGACCCCTTGGGAGATAACCACCTGCTGGCTTAGGCCCGCTCCCCGGGTGGCAGATGGCAGGCCCGATCCCTAGGTGCCTGCCTGGGTGGCAGATGGCAGGCCGATCCCTAGGTGCCTGCCCTACCTCCCCGGGTCACTCACAGGGCAGGGCCGATCAGGGGCTGGGGCACCGCCCCCGGTCCCGCACAGGGCAGGGCCGATC